TTTTGAAAACTTGCAAATTCTTTATAGTGGCTTCCTTCTTTTGGGCCATGTTCTGGACAGATCTGGGGAGCTTAGGATGCTTACCGTAAGTATTTTAACCATGGAAATTAAAATTCATTATTGGATTGCCTAGGATTCAATCAATCAACTCCCCCCTCCCCACCTTCCACAACCCCTTTTCTCTCTTTTCGTTTTTCTCTTTAAACTCTTGAACTATCCCATTTTGTGCTCTGGCCATTAATAAGAATATATTATTTCGATCTAATCACTACACGCATCAGCCTACCATTCGCTTAAGTGTTGCTCTGGTGGTTAACAAAGTTCATAAGAAAAATCTTTAGGGAACGGAACAATAGAGTTATGTAGGGTTGTGAAAAGTGTTACAAACTTTATTTTTTATACATATGCTGAAAATTGGAAGACGTGATCTCATTATTTTGATTTCTTATATGTTTTACGGGAACTCATCGTCACATTGATTGAGCAAGAATTACAGAAGCTTTGGTTACATATTTAACATCAGAATGGATTGCTTACAGTGTTTTTTTAATTTATTATTTTTTTAAATCTATATTTATTTATTTTTTACATTTTTAAGCCAGAAAATAACAAACAAAAACAGCTATAGCTTTAGCAATACAAACATGCCTTCTTCAGTCTAGAGTGTTAAAGTAACCATTTAGATTCAGGCGCCCTTCACCCCTCCACCCCCCCCACACCAAGCCGTAAATAAAAATAGATTTACGTACCTTTACTTTGCGCACATCCCTGTTCAGATCATTAATCCTAATGATCTCAGCCAATCCAATGCTTCCCCATAGGTAAGCATTGGATGGCTAGTGCTCATGCTTGGCAATGTGCCTTGCAGTGTGTAGAGACACTGGACGTCAGTCCTGCTCTAGAGGAAGTCTTTCTAGTGGTTGTCGAACAGCCCCAAAAGGTGGCCTTAGGCAACAGTGTTTACACTGCTCAGTCTGCAGGAACTGTAGTCCCTGCAGTGTCCCTTTAAGTGTAACTTTTAAACCAACAACAAATTATTATTTTTTAATTATTATTATTATTTTTTTAGTACCTTGCAGGCAGTTTTGATATAGAAAGTATCTTTATTAAAACTTGGTGAGTGACAAGTCTTTTCTAAGTGGTTGATCCAAAGTTCAATTAGACTGCCTATACAGTACTGAATAATGGAGGCGTTTTCTGTTGTGTGTCATAATTAGTGTGGGGGTGGAATGTTTAGGTATATCTGCATTACTATAGGGAGAATTACCTAGGGACAGTTAAGCTGGACTGGTCATAAGATTTTTATCAATATAACTAATGTTTATGACAGTGCCATGGACTGCTCTCCTACCCTTAATTGGGGGTGTGACCGTAAATGTGCGACTGTGCAATTTATATAGTACTGCTGCTTTTATATATTGCTTTAAAGGCTATAAACTGTTGTAATAATATGGTCTTTGTTGTAGGTGACCAAACGCAGATGTAGGGAATCTTCTTCCTGGCTGTCCCTGGTATAGAGGCATATTCTGTCATGTTAGCCATGTGCTAGCGCAGCTTAATTCACAACTTTATAATGTCATTTTAACACCTTCCTCTAGCAAGTCTAATCAGATTTTATGTAAACATCTTTACTTTGTATATAGATCTTTTGTAGACTATATAGAAACATAAAGATAAAAAGATAAATTCAGTTTTAGTATGTGCCTGTCACCCACTTGCTGGGTTAAAAAAACCCTCCAAAAAACGTGGGATTAGGTGGAGTAGAAATTTAGTGTTCTTTTAAGATGTGTGCACGTGTAGGTAAAAATAACTAGCAGGATATTCCCACTTCAGAATTAAATGACTCTGTGTGAATTTTCAGTGTATAAAACCAAAATTAGCCAAGTTCAAAGGGGCTCGGTCTTGTGTTTTGTTTTCTTTTCACTTCAATAAATCCATCGCAGACTAATGAAAAGGAAATCCTGTACTTTAGAAGTAATTAGAAATTAGGCTGAAGCTACTCTGCTTTAAATGGCCTGCATCTTCAATAAAATGAATTGCAGAATGGGAAAAGAGAAACATTAAGCAGATCCCTTAGTTAATTACAAATAAAAACACACCGTTGTCCTATCAAAATTGACATTTAAAGACTTAAAGAACCTCTCTGTAATTGGAAATTGATCCTTTATTAATTCCTGCATCATGTGACCCAGTGTCAGGGTTACTAAATCGACCATGTTTTCCTTAACACATCATGTCTTCATGTTGAAGCCCTACTCTGCAGTATATAGAATTAATATGCTGTAAGCAAAAATCAATGAAAAAGTTATCGTAAAGAATATAACGCAATTTTATGATATCCCTCCAGTTTATGAACAAATGGTTCTTTATTTTATGAAAATGGCCTGTACAGCTGCAAAAATGATTTCTGTGTAATTACGTTGTATGTGGAGATGATAAAGGATTATGAGGATTAAATACTGTTTGTTTTTTGCTGTGCAGGAAATTCACGGTTACAATCTGTGCCGTTGGAAGCTAGCTCTAGTAGCAGTAGGTGTGCTTTGTACGGGTGGCTTCCTCCTTCTCCTCCTGTACTGGATGCCGAAGTGGCGCGTCAAGGCAACATGCTCTCGAGCGCCATTGAAGAACTGTGACGTTGTGCTGCTGAGAACAACTGTAAGTACACAAGGTAGCTGTGTAACTACATGTAGTATATCTAGGGAGGTGTATGTCTATACCACCGAACATCCCCTTACAAAATTAATTGAGATTTAACTGCATTCTATTTCCATTGTTAAGACATATCCCTCTATTTATGGGAATAGGTGTACGCTATTATCCAGAGGCCTGCAGTAAGAGACATGCTGTTTTTTGTCTACTCTCTGGAATAGCATACCAACAGAAGAGTTGGAAGTAAAATCTAAAATTACATTCCACGGTTACAGGGTAGGCATACAGTGACTTTTATATTAGCCTCTGGGATGCCACTAATTTGAATCTGTTAGTCTGACTCTAAACAATGGAATGCTGAGCATCAAAATCAACCTTATATATATATATACCATGTGAGAATTTAGGAAATATAACACATTAGAAAGCTTTTAAGTTTCACATTCTCTCTAGATGTACATGACTAGTACTGGCCAGTATTGATTGCTACCAGAGTAAATTAGTTTATTAATCCTGGGGTTGGTATCACCATGGTATTCCATGGTATTCCTACAGTGATGGATTGATGTATTGATTTCTTCTGGCACCAAGTGATTTCTCCATATTTGCAGGCAGCCCCATTCATGCACTCTTGGATGACTCAAATGTGTTTCCGATAATGGTCCTGAAAAACATAGCACAGGGGGCAATTATTACTTTGATCTAAATATTGCGTGACTAATAGAAGATATTCTGTCACCGTTTTTTAAACAAGTTATTATTATGTAGATTAATAATTTACCCAATGTGAAACATTAGTTATAATAATACATTATCCTAATCGTATTTTTTTTTTAAATTTTTTTAAAGTCATGTGTATATTGAGCATGGGATTAACTTGTGCCAAATTTTATATGGAAGTTATGAATGTGGTCATATTTCTTAATGTAGCAGAGTTTAAAATTCTAATCTACTCAACCTTCATAAATGCTTATTTATACAGAGACACTGCAATGCTTTGATAAACCTGAGTCTGTGTTATGACCATTATAACTGTTCAGAACTGTTTTTTAAAACAATCAGTTTGAATATATTGGAGAAATCAATAAATGCATTTTACAGAGATATGAGTTCTTGCAAGTAAGGGATACAAAGTTCTATTTTCATAAAACACATATCTCATTGGATGTTTTCACATCTTTACTTGTGTGTATAAAACATAAAACGCATCTTTAAACATACATTCTACCGTCCATCTAATGTTGCCACATTAGGCTTTTAATCAGTATTAAAATTGCATACGTCAAGGCTATACGTTTTAACAGATATCATTTTTACAGCATCAGTAATACTGATGTAAGTCTGGCAAGCCTATATTCTCCAGCGGATACTGTTTCAGTGGCTTAATCACTGCTGTGGAGCTTGTATGTGTGTAAAATTCCACTCCTTTTTCTGGCTGCTGGGTTCATTAATTAAAAGTTTCAGATGGATTTTTCGAGCACGATTACTAATGACATTTTTAAGATTAGAAATTTTATAAATTGTCAAACAAAAAATGTAATATTTTTTACAGTGCAAATGTGGGATACAGTATGTTGGCCGCACCGTTAGGAGATTACACATAATATTTTAGTGGTATCAAACGAAAAAATTTAAAACACCATATACCAACACATTGTGGATACAGAAAAAGTATTGGCGATGAGAGAGACCGAATGGATCCACAGATTAAAAACGGGTCTAAATGTAGATCTGGATACACTAGTTTTTATGGATTAAGCCCATTTGTGATTTCACATCATTTTAAACAGTACACATCTGTTGTGTGATTCACACTTATTTTCAAACAGTATACATTAATTGTGTGTTGGTCTAACTTTTTATTCTTTTTGGATAATACATTATTATAGATTTCTCTTTTTATTCATTTTTTTTCCTATTTTTAGTCATATTCTCCTTTTTTCAATTATCGATTCTTAAATATATTTTTTTAATATGGGTTGTTTGCAGCTATCCTTACTGAATGCTTGCTTCTAGATAAATTATACGTTTGCCCACAATTCTATAGCTATAAGATACTTTTATTATCTGTTTTTTCATTTTGGAATATTTGCCCTTCTTTTATGTAACATATTGACCCTTGTGTCTGTGTTTAAGTCTGTATATGGTCACTGTTTTTATTTTTAATCTTCCCTCCAATATTTTTCGATATATGAATTTTCATAGGTGTATGTGTGTGTATATGTATGTATGTATATATCTATAGATCTCTCTCTATCTATATATATATATATATATATATATATGCGATATTAAACAGATTTAATACCCACAAATAGTGATGTCCCAAACGGTTCGCCGTGGACTTCAGTCAGCAGACACATTCCAGCCAATCAGCAGCAGACCCTCCCTCCCAGACCCTCCCACCTCCTGGACAGCATCCATTTTGAAGCTGCATTCTTAGTGAGCTGTCCAGGAGGTGGAAGGGTCTGGGAGGGAGGGTCTGCTGCTGATTGGCTGGAATGTGTCTGCTGACTGGAGTCTGCAGCGAACCGTTCGGGACATCACTACCCACAAATGATTCCTTGCATTCAACTGGATTCATTAGATTTTTTTTTAATATTAAGAGTATTGATTATTTACATATATTTACATTTATATACAGAATCAATGTTTGTGGGTCCAGTCATACCTTCTTTCTTTTTATGTGTTTAACCCCTTAAGGACTGAGGCAGTTGTACAAGTTCAGATCAAAACAAAACGTAAACAAAACTTTGAATTTGCGCTATATGTCTGTTCAACCATAATTCACCTCTTTCATATTAAATGCACCCACACTTATTATACATCATTTTGTTCAGGAGAAAAGGGGCTTTCATTTTATATAAAATATTAGTATATAAAACAAAATTTAATAATAATAAAATATTAAAAAAATTAAATGTTATTTTTTTTTAGTTCTGCACGGCATTTTAACTGTGAATGTCATAATACTGTTTGCTGTTACTGCAATAAAGTATACATATTTCTACTTAGTGATGTCTCACGAGTAAAACAGTACTCCGCTTGTCCCCCCTCCCCCCCCCAAATGTATAGGTTTTATGTTGTTTTGGAAAGTTACAGGGTCAAATATAGCACATTACATTTTTCAGTTTATACACATTGAAATTTGCCAGACTGGTTATGGTGCCTTTGATACCGAATGGTAGCTCAGGAATGAGAATTACCCCATGATAGCATACCATTTCAAAAGTAGACAACCCAAGGTATTATAAATGGGGTATGTCCATTTTTTTTTTTAGTAGCCACTTAGTCGCAAACACTGGCCAAACTTAGTGTTCATATTTGTTTGTGTGTGAAAAATGCAAAAAAACTAATTTAAACGCTAATTTTGGTCAGTATTTGTGACTAAGTGGCTTCTAAAAAAGACTGGACATACCCCATTTGTAATACCTTGTGTTGTCTACTTTTGTAAAAAGTATGCCATCTTGCGTGTAATTCTCATTCCTAGGCTACCATATGGTCTCGAAGGCAACATAACCAATCTGGCTAATTTCAATGTAAAAAAAACAAATGCAAGCCTTGTATTTGACTGTGTGACCTTTGGAAACACCATAAAACCTGTACATGGGGGGGGTGGGGAAGGGGGGAGGTGGAGTGCTGTTATACTCGGGAGACTTTGCTGAACAGAAATATTAGTGTTTCAAAACATTAAAACGTATCACAACAATGATGCTGTTTGTGTGTGAAAAATGAAAAAAGTGGCCCTTTCACTGATGATATCATTGTTGTGATATGTTTTACTGCTTTGAAACATTAATATTTGTGTTCAGCAAAGTCTCCCGAGTAAAACCGTACCCCCAATATACAGGTTTTCTGGTGTCTTGGAAAGTTACAGGGTTAAATATAGGGGTTGCGAACCAAATTCTGTGGACTTTATGCCTGGGTTGTCAGGCAGGTCCCTCAAATCGTAATTGATAAAATGACTTAATTAAGTAAATATATTACAGAAATATATACGTAAAATTTAGGTGCGTGTGTGTGTAACTTTTTTGTAACTTATTTTCATATGTATATACCTATCTGGAATAAACAACAATTTATTCGTTGAAGACCTCAGAGTGCATCTCTTATTGTACTGTGTGTGTATGTGTGTGTGTGTGTGTGTGTGTATATATATAATATATTAGAGAGAGAGAGATATTCAGGTATATATATTTATGTATATAGTTTTTTATATATATATATATATATATATAAAATTGTGTTCTAAGCGTATTTCTAAATACGCTGATTACAAGAAGGAACCCGGCTGTTGAAAAAGTCAGAACGAAACGCGTCGGGCCTAACAAATGCCCCTGATAAGATTGCCTACAGGATTATAACTGGACTGTATCCAGGATTTACCACTTTCTCTATAGACTGGTTGGGACTGCTGGTATCCTCAGGTACAATTGGCAGCTGCACACTGTATGGGGACTAAGCCCTTTTGTGGCTGAAACGCTTGTTTGCACATTCAGGAATATTTGTTATTGTGCTACTTATTTTTGGTGATTGTATTAACACATTTGTGAAGTTGGCGCCCTATACTGTATATATGTTTTAACAGAACTTGCTATGTAATGAGCAATACCTAGGTTTGTTGATCAGTTTACAGAATTTCTTTGTAATTAACTTTGATGTTTCTTTTACTTTTTTTTTCTTTCCCAGGATGAATTCAGACAATGGTTTTGTGCAAAGGTCCGCCTCCGTATGTGTCCAGGAATAGACCCATTCCAGACACCTGAATCTATGACAAGAAAGCTCATGAATGGTCACGCGGGGCACCTTCCAGAGACTCCCTCGGAGCACACTGAAGACTATCCTATAAACAATACTGAAGCCCTGCTTCTTGAGGTACAGTAGATATCATTCACTTTTTGTTTCTATATACAGTCTTAAGTAAGATAAAATATGCATCCAACTAACAGCTCCCATCTCCATGACACTCTTACTGACATTGACAGTTGCTTCATCCTGTGCTCAGGTTATTAATCAGGAATGCTTTCTATATTAGCTAACATGAAGGGTTTTCTTAGAAACAAACAACAGATGATAAGATGTTGAATCTATTGGTAAATATATCAAGGCATCTTCACAGGGATTCTATAGTGTTAGGAATACAAATCTGTAATCCTAACACTATAGTGCCCTCTAGTCCCCTCACTCCTCACAGCCTCCACTCCAGCACATAAAGGATTAAAAACTCTTTACTCCCCCTATTCCAGCGTTGGTGTCCCTCGACACTGGGTCAGCGTTCCGCCTTCTCTGACATCATCCGACCGGGTGACCTTTCCATAGGAAAGCACTAAATCAATTTCACTGACGCTGAATGTCCTCATGCTGATCGTGAGGAAGACCAGTGTCATTTAGGCAACCCAGAGTCTGGTAAACTTACGGAAGCGCCCTAGTGGCTGTCTGCTAGACAGCCACTAGAGTCGTCTTAGTACTGCAGGAGTTTCTCAAAAATTGTAATGTTTAACATTGCAGTAACTTCAATGAGATGAAGTGATCTAGGTGCCTATAGTGTCCCTTCAAGTGCTATTCACTAAAGTGGGACATTTGGAATTAAATAGAAAGTAAATTTAACATTTTAGGTTACCTAAAACCACACAGCTCATTATTTGTTTTTCTTTTCTATGCTGGCAATGTTTACACTCTGAGTGCGTGTTTTTGTAGAAGGTTTGATGCATATATTAGTAAAGTCAGTGCCATTAAAAATATTTATGTGTGTATCGGGTTGAGGTTGGATGTCTGGAGAGTTATTAAAGGGCATTGTTAATGCTGAATATGACTTTGTGTCATGTTATTTGGAGTACAATTTATTCTGTACGTTATTGTGATAACAAAGTTGCTTACTTTTATTTGATATTAGTTCTTTCAGTAATACATCTAGTAAAGCAAGGTTAGGTTTGTGAGATGCGTGCAGATTTTGTGTTTTGGAAAGCTGAAATGAATTTAAAAAATTAGGTGTGTCTCACTATGAGCTGTGACCTCTAATAGGTAATAATAGATAAATTAACGTGTGTGGGAGCGAGTGGATGCATGCAACAGGGAATTGTTCTGTTACCACAAACAGATGTTTTCTGACAATTGGAATTCATATAATGGGTGTGTGTGTGTGTGTGTGTCGAAACTTTGATCGTGACTTTATACTTGAATTAATACTATTGAATAAATATCACTTGGATTAGGACCTACGAGTGCACCTCCTTGCTTATTGAATATATATAGAATGCTGGTTGCACCGAGATATATAAAAACGGAAGGGGTGAGTGCCGAGGACTTTTGGAATATGAATTTATATATATATGAATTTATATATATATGAATTTATATATATATATATATATATATATATATATATACTTTGTAACTAGGAATTGTGATCAACAGGAAAAAGTAGTGGTTATGGTGCCAGGGGTGTCCTGGTACCCTCCTTGAGTACGCATTCAAATTGAGAATGGTTTGACAAATTACCTATGCCTGCCAGGTGACTCTTGCCTCTTTTCCTGATGTTGGAAGCTCCAGTTTGTGCCATTTTGGTATACCCGACTTTGTTGGGATATACTCATCGACTGAGAATGTCAGCTTAGCTGTTTTAGAGAATAAGCACGGGCAGGATTAGCTCAGTGATTGTAGCTTCCTGTAGCAGGAGATGGCGGTGGCGGTCATCCAGTGATACCAAGGTAGATTGTTAAACTATTTCACTATTTACTCTGGGAGAGTGCCAAGGCACTATAAACACTACAGCCGCCTTGAAGTGTTTTTTTTAACTTATCTTTAGAGTGATATTTCTACTGTTAATGTTTTTTTTTTACTACTGTCTTATGCTGGGCCATCTTTTCTTACATTTATTTCTCAAGTCAGGCTTGAGAAAGACCCTGCTGAGCCAAAATGTTTTCCTGTGGTGGAATGGAATAAAAGTACATTCAATCACTTTCTAAGTGTCTTGACTTTCTGTATGTTACTATATTTTTTTCAACTATCTGTCAGGCAGCTTGCCCAACCAATATGATAATTAGCATCTAGATTTCTATGTTTTATCGGGCACTGTGCTTATGAATTCAACCTATGTCCTCCAGACAGACCGCAAAATTTCACTCATTTAAAAATAAAGAACCACTGTGCCAAATATAAAAAAAAGATCAAATAATATTATTTTCAGTAAACATAAAATTAGGAGCCAAGACAGGCTACTCTCTGTTTATTACTTCCACTACCCAGTTATTGCACAGTTCCATTTTTAGCTTTGTGAGAAAGTAATGGCTATGATGAACTGTGTCATGCGCTACAGGAAGATCGTACAATATTATGCCTTCGTTATTCGCACAACACACTACGCACACAATGCTGCTTTTGGCACATTTCTGTTAATCTGAAAAGGCGACTTGCAGGAAAATCCCTTTGCATATGCTTCTGAGTGGAACCACTGACTGGCTTCACTGGAGAGCTGCCAGGTGTCACAGATAATAAACAATTAAATGGGAGGCTT